ACTAAGGGAGGGTTCAGAGTCACCTGATCCAACCTAATTGCATTTATCAAAATGGAAAGTTTTGAGGCTAATCTTGAAAGCAGTGCTATCTGCCTCCTGAATCCAAACTGGGAGCTGGTTCCACAGAAGAGGGATCTGAAAGCTGAAGGCTCTGCCTCCCATTCTACTTTTAAATACCCTACAAACCACAAGTAAGCCTGCAGTTTGAGAACAAATTCATCAAATTTTTTTCTGCAATAATATTTATTTAACAGGGAAAATACATGTAAAGGCAGTTATGTTTAAGCAAAATGCAACAGATCCAAGGACAAATGGGACTTTGGTGATGAGCAGATCGTGTCCCGGTTTAAAGCACTCTAATAAAAACATGGATACAAGCACACTGAACAGCAGCAAACGGGGAATATTGTGGAAAACTATGCAACACCTTCTTTACAATAATGCTCATCCTGGGAGTAACCCCTGACTGTACCTTTTGTATACAGTATATGCATATAACCAGGAGTAGCTGTTTAACTCTGAAGCCATGTATTTTATTTTATTTTATGTATTTATTTATTTATTTATCTGATATTTATTGAATAACCATCTGCCTTCCCTGTGCATATTTTCTGTTTTACTCCAGGAGGTGGTCTAATGAGAACGATAAAGTAAATAATTAACAGCTTTGACTAAAATAATAGGTTTTTTGGGGTTTGTTTTTTTTTTTTTAAAGCTAGGAGGTAGCAGCCTAAACAAAAATGGAACTGGTAGAAAAACTGTGATCACTAAAAGAATATTTTTGGGCAACATTGCCCTATTTCACGCTTTTCCTGCAATGGATTTCCAGCAAATGTTTGAAACTCATGTTTTGTCGAGATTTTAGACAGAGCATTTGCGCCATCTGGCGGTTATTAGGGGACATGCTCGCAGAGGAACGTTAAATTCTACTTGGAGACCTCTTTGTGTCAGCGTGTTATCAGAGAGTACTTAATGTTTGCTGATTGCTGCTTTTGAAAAACACAAATGTAAGCATGCGGAGATATGAAAATCTACAGTGGGGGTTCCTGCTTTCAGTTGGTGCGTTCAAATTTTATTTTTTTGTCTGGATTTTACTTTGAGTTTTTCTTTTTGTCACTTGCTTAAGAAGAACATGTCGACTTTGGTGAAAAGAAAGTGTACTTTATTGAAGTGAAAGGTAAATTTATAAGCACATGAAGTGTGTACTGAAGTGTTACTAAATTCCTTATATCACAAGACATAACTGAGGAAACAGGTGTCCTCAAACACTCATTTCATAGACCAGTATCTGATGAACATACCATCACAAACCTGTTGCATGTCAGGATGTTTTAGAGTGCAAAATGACATTCATGATGCTTATCTTGAACTTGGTGTACCCGTTCTTGCAAAAGATATGCCAGGCAGAGCCAGGGAGTCTCTGATTTCTTTGTGGTTTATTCACGGCCTCAGGACAAGTTGTCACGTCCTGCACTGATGGCAGGACTTATTGTTAAGTCAAGGAGAACGCCTGTAAAATGTTGCTCAACTGCAGCAGAGACGAGTGGCATAAATTAAGATATTTTACAACATTCATGCTTTCCATGGTAAAAGCTTTCATCTTTGCACTTGTCATAAACTTTTCTTTTAAACTACCATGTGTCAGCTCAACATTTGGAACCTTTAAACATGCAAACTCTTTAACCTCACTCCCATAGTTTTTATAGCTGACCTTTCAGGTCTGTGACCAAGTGTTTCTGCTCATTCTGTGCTACGGAAAAGTATTTGCCCACTTCCTTTCTTTTCTACATGTGTCAGATCATCAAAAACGTATTCAGTATTAGATAAAGATAACCTCAGTAAATACACAAAGCAGTTATAAAACAATGATTTCATTTGTTAACGGAGAAACCTGCCTGGCCCTGTGTGGAAAGAGTATTTCCCCCTGCTAACAAACACATTAAATCAAGAAAACATGAAAACCACCAAAGAGAACACAAAGGCTCATCTCATATTTGCCAAAAAACATCTTGATGATCCCCAAGACTTTTGGAAAAATATTTGTATGGGTTGAGTCCTGTTATACTTGGTGTGAAACACACAGCATTTCATAAAAAGAGCATCAGTCAAACAGTTAAACACAGCGACGGTAGTGTGAGGGACTGGGGCTGATTTGTTGCTTCGGGACCTGAACAATAAATTGATGGAACCATGAATTCTGCTCTCTACCAGAAAATCCTGAATGTCCGGTCATCAGAGCAGGCCCTGGAATTTAAGCACACTTAAGTTACATGGCAGGACAATAATCAGCAAGCCCAGGTTTGAGTGACTCAAAAAAAAAGAAATATTTGAAGTGACCAAGTCAAAGTTTGGACAAAGTCTGACTGAAATTCTTTAGCATGACCTTAAACAGGCTGTGCATGCTTGAAACCCCTCCAGTGTGGCTGAATTAAAACAATTCTGCACACATGTGATTGTAGTTCCTGTTGCCGAGGGTGGCACAACCAGTTATTAGGTTGAGGGGGCAATTACTTTATCACACACGAGCAGGTAGATGTGGACACCTTTTTTTTTCTCTGCATCTTGTTTTTACTCTGGTTATCTTTGACTAATATTAAAATTTGTTTGACGATCTGAAACATTTAAAATTTATAATCCTCTGTTTTCAAGCCAATTGTAAGATAAGTTGTTCCACGCATATCTTAGAATGTGCAACAGTCCTGGGGATAGTCCCTGACTGACTCCATGATAAGCAATCAGGACTCTGACTGTAATGACTCTGTTTTCTCCTTGTCACTATAGATAGTTGTTTCCGTCTCTGGTCATTTGTTTGGGCTTGCTGTCATGCTGCAGAATTAATCTGGGACCCTGGTGTATATTTAAGGCATTCCCTGAAGCAGCTCAACTCTTTTTACAGCTTTATTTTTCTTTTCCACCTAGTTTAATGTAGAAGTAAAAAACTATTTTGAAAAGAGCAGAAAATGTGATTCTTTCTTTGTGAGTTTCCTTTGCTAGTTATTTTTATCTATTGATAAAACGAAGGTCTGAAAAAAGGTCTCGCAAATGTAAGAAATCTCTTTGTACTTTGGATTAGGAATTCAGTTTTGATGAGTATCTTGGCTGTCTTATTCAGATTTTCCCCTCTAAAATATATTGCGTCTCAATTCGAAATAAAAATGATGATAGCATTTATTTCACATCTTGTTTAATGTTGTTTGTGATTCCTTTGGCTGAGCAAACCATCTTTGGATCGTTCATAAATGGTCCAGAAAGCAGCTGTGAGGCTTCTCACCAGCTCCTCTAAAAGAACATGGATTATGTCCTCTTTACACCAGTACCCCATTAAGTCGATGGTTCAATATAAGATTTTTACTGAGCTCCTAATGGTCAAATACCTCCTTAAATTAAAGGACAAGAGGAAATTGATTGATTGATTGATTGATTGATTGATTGATTGATTGGTAATCTATTTCAACATGTGAACAATATACAAGTACATTTAGAAAAGAAAATAAGCGAGAGAAAAAAATACTATACAAATTACATACAAAAAAACATTCTGATTAATTTACATGTTGAAAATTGCATTTTTAATTTTGCTGCCTCTAAGTTGTGGAATTTGCTACCATTAAACTTAAGATCTGCAGCCGCTGTTTATACCTTTAAAAAGAAGCTTAAGACGAACCTGTGCACACTTGCTTTTAGTTTATGTTTATTTAAAAGGGACAATGCAAATTAATTAACATGAGCACTTAAAATCATCATGTAAGCGTGGCAGATTTAGCCACATTGATTCAATTTCATCAGTAGTCACTGGCAGGTTGATGGCATAACAAATGAATCAACAAATCCAAACATTCAGAAGCATGTGAACATAAGTGAAATACAGAAACACACATGAAATAAAGAATAATAATGAACCATATTTAAACACATTAAAATCAATTACCTTCAGTGACATTATTTCACATCATGACAGCATGTTCGATTATCCAGTAACCACTGTTTTACAGATTTAGAGAAAGAAGTAAAGAATGTTATATTCCTTGTTTGTATTGTATTGTACTGTGGGCAAGTATAGCTGACTGCCAAATGCACTTTTCCTGAGGGGTATTTTACAGTCTCCTCTAAAAAATGCTGTGGTAGATACAGATGAACTTTGATTTTATTTAATGGCCTCATTAGAGGAGTGGGGGTCAGTCACTTTTATCTATTTATCCATTTTAATTGTATTGTTATTGTGCTTTATATTGCAGAGCACTTTGTAACTTTTGTTTTTCAAAAGCGCTTTATAAACATATCTTACTTATTTATTTACTTGAAATAGTAATTAATTAAGATTTTGTTTACCACAAAGATAAAGACACCTGACACTGAGTTTTAAAAAAAACATTTTTTCCAGTTTTATTATGGAAAGCATGTCTGAACATTTAAACAGGAAACTGTCTATTAAGGGTTTACAAAGTTGGAACAGCCCTTTTTAAAGTATCAAATGGTTTAGTACTTGGTTTGCCAGTATTTTTGCCTGGGCTCAGAACATAGACAGAAATAGAAACGCTTATTTTAAGTAAGATAAATAATAATAATAATAGCTCTGGTATGAATAAGGAGCAACAAAACGTCGAGTTCAGGGTTAAAACATCAACATTTTGTGTCTTCTTCAGCAGTCAGTGCAAACCAGCCACATGAGCCTTTTATCAAAAAATCCATTTCCTTTAACTGGATTTGTGTTGGTTGAGCCTATCAGCTCCTTTGTGTGATGTGTGATGCCCAATATAACTTTGGGTTCACTAATATGAGTGAAACCGCTGTTTGGTGTTTTGCTGGTGGTGTGGCGATGCCTGGGAGGCCTGTGGGGTGCCTTTTCTGACCTGGACAGGTAACAGTGGTTATAATAGACAGGTGTAGGGCAGCACGAGGCATGTCTCAGCCAATCACAGCCGAGGTCCAGTGAGCCTGCAGTGGTTTAAAACTGATAACAGCCGTGAGCTGAGCTCTATGGCTCAATGTGTCTGCAGAAATACCTTGAGACTGTAGGAGCCTCTGTCACACTATTTCTGCACCTTTTTTTTACACTTTTAGTCTTTGCAAATCTTTTTTGTCTTCAAAGACAGTTTTAAGATGATTTCCTCTTCGCCGTTTCTTCTGCTGCTTCTCCCCGGATGGGGTTTGCTCAGTTTTGTCTCGGGTTCCCCCGCTGTGGAGGAAGCTTACGAGGCTGTGGTGAGCATCGTGTCTCCAGGACAGCAGTATCTGACCGGGGAATCCCTTCACTCCCTCTTTAATACACTGGAGCACCGTGTGCACTGCGGCGAAGTGCCGTGTGAAAAGGTGAGTTTTATTAGGCTAAAGCTGCAACCGAGCTGGAGAGCCCTGAGTCGGGTGCGGTGGAAAAAGGTCGAGGTCCAAAAGCTATTACGCAAGTGATAGATCGGGATAGGTCTGCTTTAAATTGTAATCAATTTGCTAATAATAAAAATAATGTTACATTTTTAAATGTTAACATTACTTCTTTTAGATTTAGATTTAAGTACTTATCTGCTGAACAATCATCTAAGTTTACTTTCATGTTCCAAACTGCTTATTTACTCCTGTAAAAGTGTGCAAAAGTTAACTAAAAGTAAAGTAAGAGTGATTTCAAATAATGCTGTAAGTACTTTTTAAATCAAAGTGCAGCAAAGCGCAATAAACAGAAAATCCTTAAATCCCTTCAGCTTTAAAATGGCACCATTTTTCCACCTTGGCCGGCCAGTTGTTCCGAGCATTTGGTAGTTTCATGATGGGATTTAGGCGTCTATTTGTATTTTTTCTATTTAATCCCAGGCTTGTTTAATAAAGTGGACTTATCAATGGGAATCTTTGAGCTGCTTTTGAAAGGAAAAATGTCTTAAGTGTAACTTTATTGCATAATATTTGCCGTGGATGCACAGAAAAAAAAGACGAAGCAAAAAAGAAAGAAATATTATTTAATTGAACCTAAAAGTTCAGACCTTTTTCTTCTCTTTCCTCTTCTTCGTCTCATAAAGATTTTTTCTCTTTTGCAGTAAGTTATTAAATAAAGAGTCTCTGGTGGAACTCTGGCTACTCTAATGGAAAAGTTTAATGACAACGTAATTGAAATGAGCTTTAATCAGGGTTATATCAAGAAAAAAGTGTTGGACAGCATTTTGCCTTGTGTCAATAGGCTTCTTCCTTCAGTCAACAGGAGCCTAAACACCGATCAGGGCCTTTAGCGGCAGGTGTTTCTCCTGCCTGAGAATGAGCCTTTTTAAGGGTGCTGTGTTCACATCCCTATCTGACCATCTGATAAAGATAAAACCTCGGGTTTTTTTCAGTAAAGGAATCTTCAGCTCATAAAAGCTGGTTTAAAAATAAGTTATTACAGTGCTGGTGATTTTTCTCCAGCTTTGGCTAAAAGCTCTCTTAAGGGGCACCAAAAATTAAGCAAGAAAAAAAAAACAGGCTGGCTGAAACAATTACTCTTCGGTTTCAGGTTCAGTGTGTTAGCACTAATCCATGCTTATTTTATAAGTGTTGCTGTTACTCAAAGCATTTGCAGGCAACTTAGACAAAACCCCTTTATCAGTGAGTGAGAGAGAAGTCCTTGGACTTCTTAGGTGTCAGCTGACAACAGCAGGAATGTACAGTGCATGCCTGATAAATGTTTGCTATCAGACAGCTGTGGCAGCCATTGAATGATGCATGAAATAAAAGAGATGAGAAACTGTTAAACTGTCAATTTCATTGTAAGAACTTAGCAGTAGTGACATCGGCTTGCACTGTGGATTATAACAGGAAAAATGTGAAAGAGGTTCAATATTGACCCACAATAAAAAAAAAAAGTTTCTATTATTCCGCTGTCTAGGAGTTTATATGCAGTGCTGTGAAAACTTATTTGTCCGCTTCTGATTTCTTAGCTTTTTGAATATTTGTCAAATTTAGATGTTTTGCATAATCTAACCAATTTTATCATTAAGCAAAGAAAACCCAAGTTGATGCAAAATCCATTTTTTAAATGATGATATTTTTTTTAAAACTATCCAAACCGACCTGGTCTTGTGTGAAAACCTCAGCCTAACTGGTTGTGCCGCACCCTTGGCAGCAAGAACTGCAGTCAAGTGTTGTATTAACTGGAATTGAGTCTTTCACATCTCTGTGGAGGAATTTTGGTCCACTCTTATTTGCAGAATTCCTTTAATTCAGCAACACTGGAGGGTTTTCAGGCATCATAACCTGTTTAAGGTTATGCCGAAGCATCTCAATAAGATTTTCAGACTTTGACTAGCCCAATCCAAAACCTCCACTTTGTCTTTTTTTTAACCATTCAGAGGTGGACATGCTGGTTTGACTCTAATCATTGTCCTGCTGCATAACCCAAGTGCTCTTGAGCTTCAGCCCTCTCTAGTAGAGAGCAGAATTCATGAATCCACCATGTTTGACCCCACCCGGGGAGAAGCATTTTAAGAAATGTCGTGTTAGTTTTACACCACATGTAGCGGGGACTCAAACCTTTCAAAAAGTTCACATTTTTTCTTATCAGTCCATAGAATATTTTCTCAAAAGTCTTGGGGATCATCAAGATGTTGTTGCTGTTTTTAATTTGGCAAATGTGAGACGAGTCTTTGTGTTCTTTGCTCGGCACTGCACTGTTAGAAAAAAAACATCTTAAAAAAACAGTAATACTCCGGCAGCTGGGGCGCCAAAATAATACCGTAAAATAACAGAAAATAACTTACTCATAAAAATATGGTTATTTCCAGTAATGAAAATACAATTTGTTGCCCTAATTTTACATGGGATTTTGCCTTTTTCAAGTGCTTTTAAACATTAAATTAGGAACAATTTAATGTGACTAAACAATGAAATTACCTATAAACAAGGTCAATGAATGCGGCAATAGGAATAATAATACTTAAATGTACAGAAATATACAGTTAACAATTGGTTTAAATAATAATGGATTACATTTATATCGTGCTTTTCGAGACCCTCAAAGTGCTTAACAATTCCCCTCTGGCCATCACCAGTAGGTGAAGTGTCTTGCCCAAGGACACAACGACCGAGAGTGTCCGAGCCGGGGCTCGAACCGGCAACCTTCTGATTATAAGGCGAACTGCCAACTCTTGAGCCACGATCACCCTAAGTCTTCACAATCGACCTATAGTCGTATGATTCTTTACCATCTAATCAGTCATTCATGACCCAACTTTTAGGTCAAGATTGGTGGATATCAGTATTTTATGATATGCACCAATCTTGATGCTTACATCATCTCTAATAAAAGACAATAAAACTGCTGATATTCATGAGATATGGATTAGATTAGATTATAGGTTTCTGATAATTCTGGATAATCCTGTATAAATGCACCAATAAAGCAATCAATTCATGACCTCTTTGCAGTAGCATCGTTTATGTTCACATACACTTTATTAGATACACCATGCCAGTACCAGACTGGACCCCTTTTTGACTCCGGAGCTGTTTTAGTTCATCATGGCACAGATTTAACAAGGTGCTGGAAACGTTCCTCCGGGAGATTGGTTCATATTGACAGCATCACACAGTTGCTGCAGATTTGTCGTCTGCATATCCAACAAATCTGCTGGACTGAGTTCTGGTGACTGTGGTGGTCGTTTGAGTACAGCGGACTCACTGTCATGTAAAAGAAACCACTTTGAGATTATTTGAGCTTTGTCGATGGTGTGTCATCATGTGTGGTTAGAAGATGGATACACTGTGGTTGTAAAGGGATGGAACAATACTCACGTAGGATGTGAGGTTTAAACAATGCTCAGATAGTAATAGGGGGCCTAAAAATCTCCCATAATATTAAATCACCAGCCACACTTTCAGCCATTGAGAGAAGTAGGATGGATCGATGCTTTCATGTTGTTCATTTCAAATTCAAGGGTAGTCAAACAAAGCACAGTTTTTCCAGTCTTCTATCAGGAAGTGTGGCTCCAAGTGTAGTCCTCTGCTGCTTTAGTCAACACGCTGTGCATTTAGAAACGCTCTTCTGCATACTTTGGTTGTAACAAGTAATTATTTGAGTTACTGCTGCGTTCCTGTCAGTTCCAAGGAGTCTGGTCATTCTCCTCTGACTTCTGGCATCAACACAGTGTTTTTACCCTGCTTACTGGATATTTTCTCTTTTTCAAACAGTTTCTGAAATACTCCAAAACAACCATGCAACATGTAAAGTCACTTAAATCACTTTTCTTCTCTTCTGGTGATCAGATTGTATTTCAGTAGGTCATCTTGACTTGACTTTCTACATGCCTAAATGCATTGAGTTCCTGTATTGGGCTGATTAGAACACTTGTACCTTCTATAGGTAAATTTCATGAGATTGAAATGACTGTTTAATCTTTTTATCCCCTCTTTTTGCTCTCTGGACACAAAGTGTGATCTTGCAGATGCCGTTCATCAGCTCATAGGCAATCCCGACGTCCAATATGAGGAAGAAACTAGAAGAAACAGTGTAAATGTGGCTGTCACTGTATCTCAGTTCACGGCTCTCGCCTCCGGCTCCGTCCTTTACCTTTCTTCTCCTGGCCTGGTCTGCACAGCGATAAAAACAGGAACATGGGGAGAAGAGACTGAAAAATTCCTGCACAAATTCACACATAATGATCCCCATGAACACAAGAGTGAGGCAAACCATGACCATGAACACATAGACGTCCATGGATTAGAAGGTGTCATTCAAGAGCTTCGCAGCCACTACGACCCCACAGAAAGTGAGGTAAGCACAAGCCTATACTCAATCTTCAGTAAATAGTATTTATTGCTCTCTTTTGACCATATTCATTATAAACTGGATAGTGACAAGATAAGAAGAATGTAAAATATTAGCCTTCGAGTTTCCAAAAGCTTTTTTTTCCAAAAATATTGTAGCTTTTAATTCACCAGCAAACTTCAACTAAAGGAGTTGCGAGTAAACCAGCTGGGAAATTAAAGAGACACATGCGGGGAGATCGCTTCCCCATTACAGTCAGTTGTACATTTCCTTTATGCAGTATAACATGAGAAAAAAGTGAGCATATAGATGTTCACAGATTAAATAACTAATAAATAACTAATAATAACAAATAAATAAACTCTTGCAGGGTGTGTTTTATTTGATTGCTGACAATGGAAGCTTACATACAGATTTATATCACAGCTGGTCAGACGGGCTGGGTTTTGCCCTGTATTTAGCCACATCACCATAACACCTGATCATGATTAAAAGTGCTCTTTGTATCCGTTTCATTTTACTGGCTTGATTATGTAATTTATTTATTAGAATAGAATAGTTCACAAAAGCTGGACATGATGTTGGACTGTAACGTTCAGTGAAAAGTTGCTTTTGTTTTTTCCGATTTACTTCCTTAAGACAAAAGTTTTGTCAGATTTCCAAACATTTAGCTGTGCTTCTTCTTGTATTTTAGAGTTTGTATGTCCAGTGTTGACAGCATGTTCTAGCAGTTTCATTATTATTATTATTTGTTTTTGTTTTTATTTTGTGTATCAAATTTTTGGGGTTTGTAATTTTATCTAGTGCAGATAGTTTTTCACAGACAGACAGTTTTTACACAACAATGTCCTCATATGACAGAGTTCCTCCGTGTAAAATTCTTACATATTAATATTTAACAGATTAAGTTGAGGAAAGTTAATACAACACTAAAAAATCAACAGTCCATAATAATGGTGCACCATTTCAGGAACACAATAATGAATCAGGGAGAGTTGAGTGTTAAGTATATTTCCAGGATTTACACCAGCCAGCCGTATTATTTAAACCACAGACAGGTGAAATTCAAATCTGGCTGGCTGTTTATACAGTCATCACGGGCATCATCATCGTGCTAATTTACAGCCTTATATCCACATACATACACCCCATCTCATATTTGGTTAAATATCCCTTATCAGGTTGCATCTGCAGATATTTTTGTAGCAATCAAAAGGTTTCTGGCATAATTCAGGCTGGATGTTTGACCACTAATCTTTGCAGAACTGGCAGGCTTCATTTAAATTGGCTTGTCCATGTGGGCAGCTGCACATTCTGGTCAAACTTGAAGGTGTGGATTTTGGAGCAGGACCTTTTTCTTGATCAGCGCCATCCCAGTGATGCTGGGATGTATGTCTTAAAATCTTTCCATCCTGGGAAAATAAAACTTCAAAGAAAGGGTTAAAAGTCCAAAACTACCATAAGATGATGAGTGTATGCATACATCTTACACAACTGTGCAATGAGCATAGGATCATCAGATCGGATAGCCTGGTCTGATGAACCACATATTGTATTGCTTCATATGAATGGCCCTATTAAAATCCCTTGAATGTGTAAGAGATGGTGATAGCAATAAAAAAGTATGTTAGCTGAAGGACTGGGGAGTGCTTTGCTGGGAAACCTTAGATTCTGGAATTTATGTGGACTTTAATTTTCATATACAACCTATCTGTGGACATTGTTGCACACCACGTACTCCCTTTTATGGCAACATTATTTCCCCGATGGCCTCTTTAAGCATGATAATGCACCCTCCCAAATTACAACACCTTTATCTAAACAGTAAAGGCCACTGAGGGGTCATTTAACAAGGAATTTATGGAATACTTAAAAAACAAAGAGAATAAATCTAACAACAATAAAATTGTTAAATATTAGTTTAAAGAAAGGACATGCATTCACACTGTTCAATGTCCACTACAAGGGATTAAAGGGGATTAGATTATCTAATTTTACAAGCTTTTTGTGTTGTGTTTCACTTGTGTGGAGCACAGTCATTAAAACCCTTTGTCCAGTCTCAGTATTCACATGTTGACTCATAAGGACCAAAAAGTAAGGAAAGCTAGTGCGGTTTGAAAATGATCTGCAATGGCTTTAAGAATCTAAAGAAGACCTAGAAAAACAATAACTCCACTCCATGTAGAGTCCATGCTTTGACAATTCAGGCGTCCCACGTGCATTATGTACTAACTGACCATTGCTCAAAAGTGTTCGAAATATCAACTGTGTTTAATTGTGACGCCGTTCTAAAACACTCAGCCCCTTTTCTTTTCTTATTACCATGTTATAGAACTGTATAAGCGCTAGTGGCATCATGGCACAGGTCGACGCATCATCAGGAGACCAGAAACAGGAAGTGGGTGCGGTTTTGGGATATGTGCTGTATCACGCCCTGCAAGGTCACTGCTTCACTGATCAGTCCCTGCCTGATGAGAGCTTCTTCATGAACTACATCATGGAGCAGCTCGGCTCAGAAAATTTCACTATCCTGGGTAAATGTGCATAGACACAAAAAAACATATGAGCATTAATATATGTGCAATCACTCAAATACCCACAGCCTGTAAAACACTAACTCTGCAGGGCACTTTACAGGAACTGCTTTATTTATAAATCAACGATTGTTGTGGTCACTCCTTTGTAGTAACATAGGGAAAATGTAGTCCTATTAGCCTATTATGCCTTGCTAACAGATAATTATGTGAATCCTGAGGCCATTTTGTTCAGTTGCTTTGTGTGTGACTGTAGACCTAAAGGCTGTCATGAAGAGCCTGAATATCGGACCTAGCTCCGAGGAAGACCATGGACATGAGCACACAGCAGATGAACACGCCGACCATGATGACAATGTCCAGAGATGGAGGAAGAGAAGCAGTGACAGTGTTGAGGGACGTGAAAGTAATAACACTTGGGAACAGGTACCGACCTAGAAACACAAGAAAATGCCAATTGGTTCACACATTTCATCATTTAAATACCAGCGAGGTGTAAGTTATATAATGGATGTCTGTGGTTTGTTTTTCCCAGCGTTGTTTCTCAGCTGAAGAACTGGTCCAGATCTACGGTCTGGCAGAGAATAGCTCTGCCTCCTCTGGTCTGGGTCGGCCTGGCGTGGTTCAGCTCAGCCCTGCGCTTGTCCAGCAGATCCTGAGCGGAGCTTGTGCAGATATTACAGATCCAGAAAAACCTGATGGGCTCTCCAAGGCTGAGAGTAAGTGTCGTTGTGGACTCAAGTAACAAATAGTCCTACAAGTTGACAGTTTGGCATGTCTCAAAGGCTGGGAAATAAGATCTGTTTGTGCATTACTTATAGCTAACAACTAGTCTCTAATGGACATTCCAGGCACTTTTTTTCCTGTTTTCATTTGATGTCACTGCTAGTTGTTTCCTGCACACAAACAGACTTGATTCACAAATTCGAATTCTGGATTGTCCCTGAAGCACCTATTTCCAATTGCTGATTTTCAGTTACAACATAAAGGCTGGTAGATGTCAAAGAAAATGCACATCCTGAAGGGATTTTCACTTTTTCAGAACGAATGGTGGGAGATATAAAGTGGAAATCTCGAGGGCTGAAAAATGCTTGCCTTTTGGAGCATTTCAAGTAGACATTTCTGTTTTCTAGCATTTTATTTAGTTATTTAGCAATCATTAGCAGTGCTTAGTGGGTATGAATGCATTCATACAATCTTTAGCTGAAGATCGCTAAATAAGCTTGCTACCATTAACTGTTAACTTAGCATTCCACCCTTTTAATTATGGTCACTTCTGTGCTCGAAAAAACTAAGATGGTACTGATGACATTAAAAGAGTTAAGGCTTCAAGATGCATCCACTTTTCAGTGAGCAGAATCCCAATTAATATACATGCTATCATTTGTCTCTTTCTCATGTAGGATACCTCTATGCAACCATCGCCAATTTGCTGATAACAGTGATATCCATGTTTGGCATTGTGGTGTTGCTGTGTGCCGCCTGTACCAGTGTTTTCCAGATGTGCATCCAGTTTTGCATCAGCCTGGCAGTCGGTTCACTGACTGGAGATGCCCTATTGCACCTGATGCCAACAGTGAGGGATTTTAAAGCTTTTAGATTGGAATCATAAGGCATTTATTAAGATTGTAATGGGTGATATGCTAGCACAGTGATACTATGTAAAAACTGATTAGTCTTTTCATATATTAACATTAATGATATACTCATTTTGTCTTTCTCCTGCATTCTTTATGTAGTTTCTGGGTTTGCACGTGCACTCAGACAACGGTGGCAGCAGCGAAGATTCAAGTCACAGTCATGAGGAAGAAACTCCGGACTACGTATACAAGATGCTGGTACTGATTGCAGGGATCTACTGCTTTTACCTGATGGAAGTTTCCTTCTCTCTGATCACATATGGTGATAAGCATCACGACCATAAACATCACCATGGGGTAAGAAGAAAACAAGAAAACTCCTCATACAGAACACATTGTGTAATGTGTAATGTTAACCTTGTCATCCATTTACAACCAAAGTTGGTTATAAATATTGTGACAGACACATGTACTGACATTTAAAAAGTTCAAAAAATACTTTTTTAAGTATTTTCTCCTTCTTTGTCTCAAGTTCTTTCCTTCTGTCTCAGCCTGTAGGCTACATTTCTGAACAGTTTTGCCTTTCTCTCCTTTCAGGAAGAATCTGAGCCTCACCACTGTGACCATGGGAGAGTTTTAGAGATGTATCAACAGGAACAGAAACAAAAAGACACAAAGTCACAGTCCATATCCAAAGAAGACCTGGTAAGAGATATGTGGTCATGTGAAAGTTTTCATAAGACTGTGCAGTCATAAGTCCACACTTTTTGACTAAGTGGGATATACTTAGTATTTGACTAAGTGTACCCTACTTAGCACACTTGTACCCCATAATACTATGACTCAGTAGCTTGTAAGACCACCTTTAGCAGCAATAACTTGAGGTTATCATTTTCTATATGACTTTATTAGTCTCTCACATCATTGTGGAGGAATCTTGAGTATAGCATGAGAAAAAAATCAATTATCAATAAAAATCAAATTAAACGAAATCATCATTAGTTACACTTTGCATAATGCATTTGTTTTAGGTTAGCTGTGAGGACAATGAGAAACCGCTTCCAGAGCCAAAGGAGCGCACCAGAGGTGAGTAAAGTTACATGTAACACAAAAAGTTCATCATCATCAAACAGAGAGAACTGGTTACTATAACTTTGCCTCCTCCTGCATTCACAGAGCAGCGTCTGCTGCCTTATATGATTACGATCGGTGACACGATCCACAACTTTGCAGACGGCTTAGCGCTAGGTGCAGCTTTCGCCCTGTCCTGGAAGTCTGGTCTGGCCACGTCACTGGCTGTACTCTGCCATGAGTTACCGCATGAGCTCGGTAATTATCTTGAAAAACACAAAAACAGTGCCTAACCTAATCTTTTTTTTCAGTATTCATGCATTAAATCACCTTATTTTCCTCCCCAGGTGACTTTGCCATTTTGCTCAACTGTGGCCTGTCTGTCCGCAAGGCCTTAGCTCTAAACATCGCCAGCACCCTGACCTCGTTCATCGGCATGTACGTCGCTCTGTCTGTAGCCACTGACCTCGCTACCCAGCAGTGGATAGGTGCCATTACTGCAGGGCTCTTTCTATACGTGGGACTCGCTGATATGGTGAGTGTTACTTGTTACAAATCTGACTCTTTCACAGAAGTAGCACAATCTGATGACTGTTGTTTAATTATCATCTCCATCCTTTTTCATTGTAGCTGCCCACCATGATCCATATCAGCAACAAGAAACCCTGGCTGACATTTCTGCTGCAGAATGTCGGCCTTTTGACAGGGTGGGGTATTTTATTATTGTTGTCTCTTTATGAAGAGAAGATAAGTTTTTAATGCACAGTCTGGCAAGTGAACGGTCTCTCTGAGATCTTATGAGAGTTTATGAATGTTGTTGACAGGTTGCTGTAAGACCTAGTTTATACTTGATTTCTTAAGGAATTCCTAATGAAGACACGGTGTACCAGACACACAAAACCCACTTGTGCAGTGTGCCAAGGTGAAGAGTGTCTCTGCAAACCATTTGTTTCAGAGTATTTATTTTCTGTGCGAGGTATTAGAAAAGAGAGCAGGTTTCAATATTGAAGATCACAAGAAATGTACCACAGATAACCCAGAGACCACAATAACCCATTAAATTATTTGAGTGTGTTTAGTTAAAAGTTCCTTTTATTTGTTGCACTGATAACGTTTCACTGACAGCAAATACCAGAATGTGCTGCTCTGCTGTATTAGATAGATTTGTCCAAAAATATCACTTAGACACTTGAAATGTAACATTCAAGCAAACATGTCTTTTTCTAATTCTAGATTAAAAAAAATAATAATAATATAATTATCTGGATTTTTTTTTTCATAAAAATAAGTAAAATGCTTTTTCTTTGTACCTTTTAATAAACTGATATATTATTACATACTTATTGTAGTGGTTTGGGAATTTTAGGATTTGTGAAATCTTCCTATAAAATCTGGTTTAAGAGTGTCACACTGAGACAGCATATAATGGGAAGTTAAAGAAGTAACCCACAAGAATTCAACCAAACAAAAGGAAATCTCTCTGCTCTCTTCTGTTCTGCTACTCAATCCCAAAACATGCAGCCTCAATCGCAGTGGTCCACTTGCACAGCTAAAAAAAGGTGCTCTATAGCCAAAATACACAAATAACCAAAGGTGGTACAGTGGTTAACACAGTAGGAAGGTGCTAGGTTTGAACCAAGCCAATGGATGGGGCCTATTAAATGTTCTCCCCATGCCTGCGTGGTCACTCCACAGTCCACAGTGGTTCTAAATTGCCTGTAGCTGTGAACATAAACCATAATGTCTCGCTGGGTAACCCTCTGATAGACTTGTGATTTCTCCAGGGTATACTTCGCCTTTTTCCCTATGACAGTTGTGATAGGCTCCAGCTCTTATCCACCATGTATTGTGTGAAATTTGAGTTCAAATTCTGCATTTTGACCTTTAACCTTTAATAGAGCGTTCACCTGTGCTTTTGCATTAGATAACAAGTTGTAAGTGGAGAAGACAGGTTACGTCTTTAATCTGCGTAAAGTCATGGAGGTTAGGCGACAACTGCACTTTATCTCGCTTTATGCTCTAATCTCCTAAACTTAGAGCTCATATGAACATCCTCATTAGGGACAAAGTCCACTGACAACGCATCACATGCCGACACAGAAGGATGTTTATTACTTTACACTCCATATGTATGCATGTAAGCATGCAGACTGTCTCAGACACGGTGACGTACATGATTGCAGCAGCTGAGGGTTGTACGCTGACACTTTAAGAACACACTTTAAAAGCAAATTAGAGAACTGCTGACACACACACACACACACACACACACACACACACACACACACACAAAGCTCATCTCCCTGATGTCAGCTTTCCAAACTGGTATCCATAATTTTGAATCCTGACTGAATGTTTTCAGCGATTTTATGAGCCCACGGAGTCCTCTAACCTGACGTGCCAATAAAACACTCAAATTTAATTATCTCTCAGATTGGACCTTTGAGCATCTCATATATTACACTGCACAATACATCTTTTACAGTAGCGCTGGAAAACAGCAGACAGTTTTACAGGCAGAAAATAAAGACAGGGGATTATATGGTAACTGAAATAAAAGACTATGTGAAGGAGCTATAAAAACTGGATCAAATATAAAAGCAAACTTCCACTGTTATTGGAAAGCAATGGGACACTTATACGTGTTAACATAAAGGCAACGGTGAACACGAAGAGCCTTTTTTGCAGTTATATTCACAAAGCAATCTACAGTTCAGGTACCATTTAAAGGTGAAATTACAGCCATTCGTGTTTAACTGAATGACTGTTATCAAATGGAGATGATGAGTGGAAGAGCAGGACAGTCTGAGACCATTATTGCTACTGGCTGAGTGGTCATATGACTAACATGCAAGGAGCTAAAGCATGTGAGTGCTGTCAGTGAGGGCATGTCTGCTACTTAAGCTTCAAACTTCCTCTACGAGGCCAGTAGCTCAACTGCAAACATGTTGCCTCCTGTAGAAAGAGAAACTGAATGATTGTAGTTTTAAATTATTAGCTTGGACTCCCTGTTGCCCTCCTCACTTTTGTCACACCTACCTTAACTCTTCATGGCTCAAATTCATCAAGATGCTGGAAACATTTCCCAGAGTTTTTGGTCGATATTGACATGGTAGCATTAGCATGCATTCTCTTTATTGCACAAGGGTGTAACTGTCAGTATCCCTGCGTCTTCCACTGCCAGCCATTTCATTTTGTACAATTCCCACCAGCTCTTTAAAGTCTGCTTTTTGCGCAATCTTTTCAGCGCCCTTAATCTTATCAGCAAACTGTGTTTATGTGCTAAAAGTAATAATTTCCTTGTAAGTAAACCCAATTGTAAAGTGTGATTTCCCTAACTTATTTACACAAGGCACTTTGTAGAGGGTACAGCAGCCGTGACCGTTTGTCTTGAGAACTGTTTGACCAAAGTTCTTCTGCAATCAAATCTCATAAACTTGGCGGCCATTTTCAAATGCTGCCAGGTATTTATTTGGGCAGGTTTTTCAGAGGTCACACAAAAAATGTATGACTAGAATGAAATAGGATTTTTGACTTTTTTTTCTTTCTTTTTTTTTTTTTTTAAAGGAGTTGCCCACAGATTTAAATTTAGGATCTATAAAGTAAAGTGTGTTATGTAAGTATAACGCCTCGCCTGCGTCAGCTAGCTTGCAGGCTTTGCTCCATTTAGCAGGTTGGTTAGTTAATGGTAATAGCTTTGCTATCAGTTTGTTATAAGTAGTGCCAAACATTGTGATTCAAATGGCCATTTAATGGGAATAAAATGCTTTTATCAGCAGCCTGATGTCTTCATAATCTTCAACACACACTGACAGATGATGGGCATTTACTCTGTAATGAGCACCGGCTAAACAGAAAATCTGTCATGCATTCTGTCTCACCTCATTTAACAAATGTATGCCTGGCGCTGTGGCATCTTTCAAACCTGAGATCCTGCAAGTCACAATTAAAGAATACAGTGTTTGTTTTCATCTTTTGAACCGTTTCACATCTCGTGACAGCTTTTCCATAGAGTGCAGCAGCATGTGGTTCGAGGTATGAAGCCTTTTGGCTAAAGGTAATCTATAAATAAAATACAACTGAGTGCTACAGCCTGGTCAGTATCACCAGAGAAACACCTGATGATAATATCCTTATAGTGAACTGCTTTGGCAGATTTTTAGATAAGATGGTGCTGATGTTTATCCATTTACTGCAGTTGAAGTACTTGCTGTCCTGAATTTTAATGTGTTTATTCTGTATCAGCTCATTGGGTGGCTGCTGATTTACTAGTGAGAATAGAAAAAAAGTCTGATTTATATTCAGTTATACTTTGCCAGACCTCTTATTACATTACCTTATCAGTCTATCGTGAAGCTGCCAAAGGCCGTGTTTGATAATGAACATTTTCTAGGTGTGACCGAGCATTGACACCGTGATTAGCCACTTTCCCAAAAAAGCCTGACTTAATGACATTGTTTTTTTGCGTTTTACACACAGGAATTTATATCATCGCACAGAAGCAAAGTCTATTTAGCTTAATCTTCAAGTGCTGGGTGCTGTGCGAAACTCATACAGAAAAAAAAAAAATCACAAATATTTAAAATAAAAATACACTGGATACACTTTTAGATGCACAGAGGTTAAAGGACGGCTGTCTGAAATTACAGAAAGCTTTTGGGAAGACGTCAGAGTGAAACATGAGACGTCCCAAAGTTATTTCCACTTGGTTTGTAGAATACAGTCAGAAGAGGATTGAACAATAATTAACCAGGTTTCCAAATACCAAAAAGGTAACTGCACTGATGTGGGGGGGAAAGAAAAACTCATTGTAGAATACATTTTCCACCCTGATGTCAAACCGTCTTGAACAACATTGGGTTTCTTTATTCAGACCTAAAAGAAACAAATCTTAATAACTGATTTTAGTGTTGGATTTGTCATACCCTTTTGAAGTGTCAAAAATATTAGTAATAATATTAACTAAAAAATTTATAGAATAGAAGTTTGAATCTGTGATCTTTCAAAGCTTTTTGTTCTTCAGCTGGCCAGAGTCTCTCTTTTAAGAATGTTCCAGATTGTTGAATTGGCCACTCCAAAAGCCTCTGGTATCAACCTGATAGGTTTATTTTGGTTTTTCAGCATAATGGTCCCCCCCCCTCTAAACTCTTTAAGTCACATATTTAAAGAGTGAGAAGCTGCAAAATATAATTTCAACACTTTTAATCAACTTCACGTATTACGTCTGCTTCATGTCAGGAAACAGTAAGAGAACATGTGTCACCTGGCCAGGAAATTGTGTATGAGCTCATTCTCAAATTACTTTTGACCTTCTGGAAAAAAAGAAAGCATGTGTGTAATTAGTAAACCTCACAAAGTAAAGCTGAATGCCTGCATGTCAATCACTTCTTGATTGTTTCGGTTAGTACAGAGGCAAAACTACGTACAAAAGCTGCACCTTTTTCGTGCAAGATATCGAGTTAAATCAGGTACGTGCACGGTGGAAGTACAATGAATAAAGAAACCCAAGCGCTGCTGGCTCTGTTTCACTTACCTCACTCTAATAAGCCTGTTTGAGCTTTCAGCTTGCTTTTTTTTTTTAAAGAAATACGATGTTCATCACACCAACACAGATTCACTTGTTCACCAAGTGGTTCAAGAGAAGGCCGGTACATCTCTGATGCCTATAGATTAAGCAGCAGGTAGGAAAAATTAAGCTACAAAAAGAGATTTAAATACTTTATCTTGTTGCTATTTACAGTGAAACAAAAAAATAAAATAAAAAAATCCAAAACAACTCCACTAACCAGGTAATCTAAATGTTTACAGCTCAAAAGCTTTATGTGCATCTCCTGAAGTGGAGTAAAGTTTTAACAATGGCAATAAAAAAACTGGGGAAAAAGGAACACAAGTTCAGAAAGTGGCTCACCTTTTCACTAATCCCCTTAAATTTGGATCATAATAAATTTCAGTCAAGTAAATAATTGTTATTCTTATCATGTTTAAAATTTTTGTTCAGTAATATTCATGCACACACAGCACAAAATCCCACACTTTAAGTTTTACTTCCTTATGTCAGTTCGTTTCTAGGTCATGGATTTTATTTTCCTCACCTGTGAGGTTTTATGTTTACTGACCACAGATTTGTTCTGTGGTTGTCCTATTTTTTAAATAAATGCATCTCAAAGACCAAGATACAAAAATATATTTTATTTAGTTTTTGTATACAAACAAATTATGAGACATACGTAAAAAAAAAAGAAAAAAAAAGATAATATTGGACCATCTGGTCGATCACTTGAAGCGAATGATCTCCTGAGTGGCCAGTCTGATGAGCTGGTTGAAGTCAAACTGGATGTACTTCCTCCAGTAACGTCTGTCTTTGCCGTAGGTTTGAGCCGGATAACACGGACTGCCTGAAACACAGGTTGGATTTATTTAGCTTTAGTTTATAGAAGTTTTTACTTCAACATCCACAGCTGATGGATCAAAGGCCAAACAGTGAAATTCATACATGAAAAATAAATCGCACTGTCAACTTCTCCCTAGTTAAATATCAATGCACAATTACTATTATTAGCTGTGTTTAACTGTGGCTAATAACAAAAGGAAGGCTAAAGATCAAGGTCTATAATTCTGGGAGGTGCTGGATAAAACTTATTTTAATAGAAACGTGCCACCTCAACCTTTTTTCAGGTTGACAACCAAAGAATCCCAAAAGAGTAAAATAAAATTCAAATGTAGGAAAATGTGAGCGCGATTATCCCTGTATCTGCGGTTATTACACTCTTGCATAAATCCAGATTCAGGTTAGTGTCAGACTGTACAGCTGAAACCCTAATGGAGGTCTTCATAACTTTCTCGTCTACATCACTGCACTGGTGTCCTCTTTGGTATGCTCAGAAGTCAGCTGCCAGAGATCTTACCTGCATCAAGTCAGATCCTATATCTTCTTTAAAAATCCTTCTCCTCACTTATCAGAACTTCTCCTCCCCTACACCCCATCCCAGACTCCGAATTCTCCTGATAAAGTCGTGCTCTCGAGTCCCCACAGAAAGTCTTCAGTCCTTATGTGGGGACTGTTCCCCTCTGGGATTTGTAACGCCCCGGCTTTGGAAATTTCAACAAGTAGTTAAAATGTCACCTGTTCACGAGGTTTTTTGTCTAAAGACACTTTGGGTTCTTAAAAAGATATGTTATAAACATCATGTTCTTTCTGAGAACTTATATAAATTAAAGATAAAAGATAAGTGTAAGGAGGGAGTTAGACTTTTGAAATAAAGAGCCCATTGGTCAGCTGAGAAGTGAACATGTGATTAGCTGAGCACAGTGAATCTCAAACTGTTTGGCACTTCCAACGCAAGTCATCTCCCGAGCCCCCAAACTTCTCAGCTCCTTATTTTCTTAGCTATTTATCCCAGTTTACAGTTGTAGTGAGGAGGGAGTCCATCCAGTACAACATACAGCCTGAACACACTGACAGGTCAACACAAAGGCCTCCCAAAACCTTTTTTCTCTCTTTTTTTACATAACACATAAGTAATTTTGTTCCATGCCTTGACAGATAATCTATAGCAACAATTTTCTGACGCTATCTAGCTTATGTTTGTACAGTTTGAACTATTAAAATCTCAGCAAAACTGAAAAGTCCTAAATTAGCTCTCTAACGACCTCTAGAGGTTTATAGGTTCGCTGCTTTGGAGTTGATGTTCTGACAAACAAAAAAATCTGTGACCAACTATTCACAGCAGACAGGCTTCAGCTTTTTTAAGTTGGATAATTCGGTGCCATTTAAAAGGATACAATCTGAATATGTGTAAAGGTGAATGTAAACATGCAAACACCTCCACATTTAATGTAAAGCATGAAGGACTTCAGTGAGAAGGGTTGGAGAGAAAAATGTTCTGGTCCAAAAAAAGAAAAAGAAAAAAAAACTACCTGCGCTTATGCAGGTAAATGTGTGTGCGCATGTGCGTCCTCACCTATGCCATGGAAGATACGAGCGACAGCCCTTCCAGAAAACTTCTCGTCACTTCGGTTGGAGAGGAAACTTCTGATGTCGGCTCTGATTTGATCCTCCCAGTCCAACAGCTAAAACATACAGAGGTAAGCAAAATCGTTCACAGACTTCACGTTAACTACAACTCCTGAAAAGTTTTCTACATTATTTGTCTTTGTAAAACCTTATATTTGTCGAGCTCCTCGAGATCAAAAGGTTTGAGAGCGTGGTCCCCGTCCCGCCTCTTATCAAAGTACTCGGACAGAAGGCTTTTTAACTGCAAACTGCGGCTCTCATCCAGATCGTCTACACAGGACAGTACGCTGCAGAAGGCAACACTGAAGCACAGCGAACACAAAGTCAAACACCAAAGCAGACAGAGGGTAACTGCACGCAAAAAGACAAACGGTCAAAGCTAGCCAATACTGGAAAACAGGCTAGATCTTATTTAAGAATGTGTTTGTTTTAATTAGTGGATAATCCATAAAATCAGCGGATAATTAAAAAAGCTTAGCGTACCTCTTGAAGGCCTTAAAACAGGCCGTCAGCTGGTACAGCTGCGTTCTCTCTTGGTCCTGCACTCGTTTATGGAGGAACTGACAGACTCTGTCCATCTCCTCATCGCTCAGGTCGCCATAGGAACGAAAGTAGAACGAAGGACTGGAGAATTCGACGAGGACGCCGCTACGTCCCCCAGCTGAAACAAAAGCATTTTTGACTGATTATTTCTACTGCAGCCCAGCAGGAAAAGAAGCGAGACATCCAACAAGCATCTCACAGAACTAAATTTAGACTCAAGGTTAGACCCTAAAACCACAGAGTGACGATCAGAGAGTGACACTGACGTTAGAAGGCAACAGGACATCCCTACATGTATAAGCAAGTTGTACTTTTTAAGGGCTTTTAGTAAAACTTTAAATTAAACTACACTTGCAAGGAAAATACATATAAAAGGTCAGATTGTCTTAAGAACATGAACTGATGTCAGGAAAACTGTAGGTACAGTAAAAGTATCTATGGCAGCCCGTTTCCGCCTCTCATACTCTCAGTGATGTGAGACCCTTCTGAACCGAATTCAAGGCAGCTTAATACTTTTTAAGGTCTTCTATTACTAAATGTATGTTAAAGACATTTTCAGACTTTATAAGGGCTGAGATCCTCCCTGAAACATTTTCCATGGCGACTGCCTGGATTGTTATTGCTGTGAATGTGTGGATACTAAATCGATACTAAATGAAAACAAAGCAAACATGAACTCATGAACAAACCTCTATCGGTGCTCCACTGCAGCTGCCTGAGTCCTCTCTTCACGAGAGGGAGCTGCCATCCCATAGTGTCCGCGACCTCGACAACATCAAACTCAAGCTGGTCGCACTGCTCCACCCGCTCGCCCGCCATCCGCCGCCTGGCCAACACCACAGCGATCGGAGGACAACTGCAGAGAAGAGACAAGTTTAAGACGTCTTAACAGTAACATTGCAATCACAGACGCACACGTTCATGTGCCCGGCCAACGTTGTCATACATTTTAGTGATTTTCTGGAGCTGCCTCGGCCCATCGTAGCAGCTGACTTTACACACAGACAGAGTGGGGTGGAGCAGCTCCACGAAGCGCTGTGGGTGCAGCTCCAGATAGCAGAGCAGCGTTTCCACACCTGGAAAAACATAAAAAATGTTAAAATTTCAAAAACACTGGGAGTAGTTGTTGTTTGCTGGATTTTAGAGTGTTTCTTGGGAAATTTAGGATGAATTTGTGTAATCTACACGATTTGTTTTGTTCTGTTAAACCAGATAAGAATAAATACGAGTGATTTTATTAGATGGTTTTTCTTATTTTAATGCAACGTTTGCTCCAGTTTTGTATCATTTTATTTGTTTTCTAAATTCATCTGTTTGAGCGTAATCTGGTCATCAAACTGTTTTGGCTTTAGCTTTTTGGCCTTTTGCTTTCAGCGGATTCAGCGCACGAGCCACTAAACAACCTGCGTGGATGAGATCAGGCTTAAATTCTGTCTTAACCTCGAGTCAGAAATAATTTTTAAAATGTTTAAAGATTTATGCTAATGTGCTTTCCGTGTACAAATCAGCCTACACCTGTTCATTTTACTGTCTTATCAATCAATGTGATTTTTTAGTGTACGTTTCCACTCACCTTCCTCCGTGATGTCCAGAGCCTCGATGGTCTCTTGGATGGGAATCGCTCGTTCGTGCGTGTGACAGACTCGCTCCCTGGGCCAATCACAGCGCTCCTCTTCTTGGTCCCTCTCCCGGTTATCTCTCTGGTCTTCTGTCTGTTTTTTCATCTCATCCTCATTTCGTCCCTCTCTTTTATCGTTGTCTTCTCGGATGGCTAGCCCAGCAGAACTGAGATCTGATTCCTTGCAGTAAAAAAAGTCATATTACCAAAAAAAATTATGTACTAAAAAAGTAATTATGAAATTAGCATTTAATTATTTTTTTGTTTAAATTTCTCTATTGTGTGAAGCGATCAGAGACCAGTTCCCACTTTACTTACAGGTGCAGCAGCAGGTTGTGATTCATCTTTGTCTGACATGTCTTGCTGAGCAGAAGAATTCATGCTGCTCTCCTGATCGCACACATCCATCACCTCCAACAGCTCAGAGTCTTCAACATCCTACACAAACACACAGACACACAGTCCTTTACTTCATAGAAAGTTTGAGTTCTACAGACAAAGACATTTCTTCAGGCTAAAACACACTCACAGACAGACGAAGGAGGAGTTACCTTGAAGAGTTCCTGCTGTTTCTGGTGTATCTGTTTACATTTGCAAGCTGGGAAAACTTTCTGCACCAGTCTTTTCACCGTATAGTAGTCCACTGTGTCTGCGTAGATATGGCGACGGAGCTCATGGAGGTCTCCACCCTACAATCACACACAGAATGACATGATATTATTCGTATATGCAATATACACTCACTGGTCACTTTATTAGGTTCACCTGTACTGCTCCTTGTCAGTCCAAATACAGTGGGGCAAAAAAGTATTTAGTCAGCCACCGATTGTGCAAGTTCCCCCAC